TGGTAGCCCAGGCTGGCCTCGAACTCACAGAGATCCGCCTGCCTCTGCCTCCCGAGTGCTGGGATTAAAGGCGTGCGCCACCACCGCCCGGCCTCTCACTGGGGGATTCTAAGCAGGGGCTCTACCACTGAGCCACACCCCAGCCCCTTACTGGGGGATTCTAGGCAGGGGCTCTACCACTGAGCCACACCCCAGCCCCTCACTGGAGGATTCTAGGCAGGGGCTCTACCACTGATCTCCAACTCTCCCCCACTGAATCCTTCTTTTGTTTGTTTTAGACACAGTTTCACTATGTGGCCCAGGCTGGCTTGGAAGTCACAGAAATGTCCCTGCCTCTGCTTCTTCAGAGTGGGATTAAAGCTGGGGGGGGTGGTTAGGGGGCAGGGACAGGGTTTCTCTGTGTAGCCCTGGCTAGCCGGGAACTCACTATGTAGCCCAGGCTGACCTCAAAGTCCCATGACCTCCTGCCTCACCCTTCCGTATACCAGGCTTCCAGGCTTGAGTCTCCATGCCCAGAGAAGTCTGTGGTCTTCATCTTTACTCATATTGTATGTTTTGAGATACAAAATCAGAGGCACTGGAAGGTCTGAGAAAGCTGGTAGACGACAGAGGAAGGGAAGGAGTTTGGGGTTAGCCTGAGGTACATGAGACTCTGTCTGAAAAAGAAAATGATTAGGATATTATTCACTGATGGAGCAATTGAACTGATAATGATGATGATAAAGCCTGACTCAGTGGCACACACCTGTAGTCCCAGCACTCAGGAGGCAGAGGCAGGTGGATCTCTGTGAGTTCCAGGCCAGCCTGGTCTACAGAGAGAGTTCCAGGACAGCCAGGGCTACAGAAAGAAACCTTGTCTCAAAGAAACCAACATGATGATGATGATGATGATGATGATGATGATGATGATGATGATAAAGACGATGAGCACAGTTCTGAAAGTCCGAATGGTTTTGGAAGGAGGGTCCCCAATTTCTGCTGTTTTCAATCAGGGGTTCACTATGTATGGAACTCCCTATGTAGACCAGGCTGGCCTAGATCCTCCTCGGATGTCAGGATTAAACACGTGGCCACCACACCCAGCTTTGTGTTCCCACTTTTCATTTTGCGCTGCTCCCTGGACACATGTAAATGGTCTCTCTAGCCGGGTTGCTCTCTAGCCGGCTCTCACAAGCGCTGTCTGTCCGAATTCTACGTCTTTGAGGGCGCTTAGCCCTCCCTCTTCACTCCCCTGTCTGGCATCCTCCAGTCCTCTGATCCTGATTTCCCTCTCAGGAAGCCATTTTTGACACTGGCAGTCTGTGAGTCCCAGCAGGGCAGGGACCACCTCCTCCTCCTGTGTCCTCAATCCCGACACAGCCTTTGTTCTCCCCTTCGGGGAGTGTTTAAATGAAGTGTCCCCAGCCCGGAGTGGGGCACACACCTGTAATCCCAGTCCTTGGGACATGGAGGCCGGGCGATCGGGAGTTCAAGGCCAGCCTGTTACAGTGTGCATAAAAAAAAAAAAAAAAAAAAAAAAAACCGATATGAAGGTTTTCCTAAGAGGTGTGTGGGAGGGTGGAGAGAGGAGGCTGTGACCCTCCCCTCCCCTCCCTCCCCTCCCCTCCGTCCTACCCAGCCGCACTTCAGCAAGCTGATGCGCAGGAAGTGGCTGAGCAGCTCCGAGGCTCTGGATGGCATCGTGGGCACACTCGGCGCCCAGGCCCTGGCCCTGCGCAGGATGCAGGATGAGCCTTACCAGGTGCGTTGACCGGATGGAGGGCTCGAGGGTGGAGATGCCCAGAGTGCTCTCCTCCTGGGGGAGACCCTATCAAGTGGGGTGTCGGTTGTCTGGAGGCACCTCAAGGATCTGGGGGCTGCAGTTGGGAGACGTGCCCCTGGGAACTAGGGTGCAGGGCCAGGTTGGGTGTCCTGCAAGGAAGAGTTTTGGGGGAGCCTAGGGTGGGGCACGCTTTAGGGAGAGTGGTATCTGATTCAGGGTCTGACAGCATAAGGGAGCTGTAGAGGGCCTAGCTGTAGAGGAGCTGGGCACTCGGTGAGAAGGGGCGGCTTCCCGTCGGGCGTCGTGAGTGCCGGGTTTGGATGCGCAGGGCGGGGAACCTGGGTTCCTCATGAACCTGCTGGGTTGGAGCGATCTAAAGAGTGTCCCGGCCTCCCACTGTCCCCAGGTGCTGGTGGCCGAACTGCACCGCCGGGCGCTGGTGGAGTACGTGCGACCACTGCTGCGCGGACGCCTGCGCTGCCGCTCGGCGCGGACCCGCAGCCGCGTGGCCGGGAGGCTCCGAGAGGATGCCGCGCAGCTGCAGCGGCTGTTTCGGCGGCTGGTGAGTGCCCGGCTGGGCTTGGGAAACGGAGGCTGGGGGTGGGGCTGGGGGGTGGGCTGCTAGGCTTCCAAAGCAGAACCAGGGAAGGCTCTTGGAAACGGACCTTCAACAGAAACTGGGTTCGTGATGGTGCACACCTGCCACCCAACATTAGGGAGATTGGGGCAGGAGGATCGCGAGTTTTAGACCGAAAAACAGCCCCCCAAAGAAGGGGGGGCGGGGATTGGAAAGATGGTTTAGGGTTAAAAGCCCTGGCTACTCTTGCAGAGAACTCAAGTTCTATTCCCAGCACCCCCGTGGCAGCTCATCCAACACTGTATTCCGGCTTCTGGGGCTCCAGGCATCCACACGGTGCAGAAAGAACACCTATACATATACAATAATTTTTTGTTTTGTTTTTGAGATGGTCTCTATGCACTCCGGGCTGCCCTGGAACTCGCTCTGTCGACCCAATTGGCCTCAAACTCACAAACTCCTTCCTCTGCCCTGTGAGTGCAGCCACTATGCCCGGCTAAAATATTTCCTTAAAGCAAAAAGCCATAAGGGCTGGAGAGATGGCTCAGAGGTTAAGAGCACTGGCTGCTCTTCCAGAGGACCTGGGTTCAATTCCCAGCAACCACATGGCAGCGCACAACTGTCTGTAACTCCAGTTCTTGGGAATCTGACACCTTCACACCAAAGCACCTAAAATAAAGTTAATAAATTATTAAAAAGATATTGCCGGGCGGTGGTGGCGCACGCCTTTAATCCCAGCACTCGGGAGGCAGAGCCAGAGGATCTCTGTGAGTTCAAGGCCAGCCTGGGCTACCAAGTGAGTCCCAGGAAAGGCACAAAGCTACACAGAGAAACCCTGTCTCAAAAAACCAAAAAAAAAAAAAAAAGATATACTGGGCATGGTAATCCTGTAATAACAGCACTGTGAAGGACGAGCCAGGAAGCCTGGTCTACATATTGAATCCCAGGCCAGCCAGGGCTATGTAGTGAGACCCTGTCTCAAAAAAGTAAAAGAAAACACCTCTGAATCCAAGTGTCATCAAATCCAAGGATTTACTGGTCCCCAGTTGTCATAGGTGGGGTGGGCGGGCGCGGGGGGGGGGGGGGGGCATATACTCACCAGCAGCCTGTGTCCTTGGGAGTTTGCGTTTATTGAAACATTTTCAAGATAATTGTCGTGGGCTTCCGGGCAGCCCTAGGAGAGAGCACAGAATACCCCCTCAGGACATCTTAGCGATGCTTTGCGCATGGTAACATTTTGCACTTTTCGCTTTTGGTGGTAGGGTCTAAGGTGCAACCCAAATCCTTGCACATGCTGACCCTCGACCCCCGACTTGGAATGGTTCTACACCTCTGGATATGGAAACCCCAACCCCCCAGCCTCTGCCTACCTAGTGTTGGCATTTTTGTTTGTTTGGTTGGTTTTGGAGATAAGGCCTCAGGCAACTGAGACTCAAACTCGTCATGGCTGAAGATGAGATGACTTTGGACTCCAGATCCCACTGCCTCCACCTCCCACGTGCTGGGATGATAGGCATCTGCCACCAAACCTGGATGGCATAGGTTAGGGTTGTTTTGTTTTGAGACAGGGGTTATCTATGTAGCCTTGGCTGTCCTGGAGGGTGGATCAAGCTGGATTTGAACTCACACAGATCCGCCTGCCTCTGCCTCCCAAATGCTGGGATTAAAGGAGTGTGCCGCTTTAGCTGGCAGGGTTTTTGGTTTTTGTTTTGCTTTTCTTTCTTTCTTTCTTTCTTTCTTTTTCTTTTTGCTTTTTCGAGACAGGGTTTCTCTGTGTAGTTTTGTGCCTTTCCTGGCCTTGAACTCACGACGATCCACCTGCCTCTGCCTCCAGAGTGCTGGGATTAAAGGCGTGAGCCACCACTGCCCGGCTTGTTTTGTTTTTCAAGACATGGTTTCTCTGTGTAGCCCTGGCTGTCCTGGAACTTGCTTTGTAGACCAGGCTGGCCTCAAACTCATAGAGATCCACCTGCTTCCCGAGTGCTGGGATTAAAGGTGTGTGCCACCACCAACTGGTCAACTGGCGGGTTTTAAATCCTGTGACCCAACCCCCGGATTTACATAAGTAAAGGGTCTAGCTACCCGCTGGCCAGAGTCTGCCTTCTGCGCCCTTTTACACGTGGGGAAGGGCCTGGGCAAGAGCAGGGCTCAGCACGGAAGGGGTACTGAGAGCTTGCATGGGGTGACCCTGGAGCCCTTGCCCCCGCAGGAGTCCCAGGCGTCCTGGCTGGACCAGGTGGTACCGCATTTGGCCGAGATCCTGCAGCTGGAGGACACTCCGAGCATCCAGGTGGAGGTCGGGGTGCTTGTGCGGGACTACCCAGACATCAGGTGAGATGCAGCCCGGCCCGGGTCTCCCTGGCATCCGTCCCAGCGTTTCCTGGCCCGCGCCAAGGCAGGGTGGCGGCGAGCGTGTCTGACGGCCGTTTCCTGCTGGGACCAGGGCATTCTTAATACGGTTTCCCTCCTTCGGCCGCCGCCGCCGCCACCAGAGCTCGCAAACAAACAAGCGGCCACAGGAAGCCCAGGGCAAGGGGGGCGCAGGCCGCCCGGCGGCAGGAAGGGCTGGCCACGCAGGGAGCCGCCGGGGACACGGACGGGGGACACACACGGGCATGCGGGCGCACGCTCGTTCGAATCTAGGTGGGCCACTTCCTTTGGCTGGGACCTTCCCTGGGTCTCATTCTTATCTGCTGCCCAGGCGTGGTGATACCCTGATTGTGGACTGGTTGCGGGAATTTCACCGTCGTCATTATCTAGGGCAGTCAGACTGTAACAAGCACAGTCCAGCCCGGTGTGGTGGCGCACGTCTTTAATCTCAGCACTCCGGAGGCAGGAGTTAGGTGGACCTCTTGAGTTCTGAGTTCGAGGCCAGCCTGGGCTAGAGTGAGTTCCAGGACAGCCAGAGCTATCTAGAGCACTAGACTCAAAAAAAAAGGAAGAAAGAAAGTGACTTTGAAAGATTTAAATGCTTAAATGACAGCTAGGGATGTCGCCAGTGGGCAGCACCTGCCTAGAATCTCCCCGTGAGGGCCTGAGGATATGGCTCAGTGGTAGAGCATTCACCTAGCACACATAAAGTTCTGGGTCCCATCCACAGCACCATAGGGGGATTGTAGAAATAGTAAAAGTAAGATTTTTATTTATTTGCTTGTTTGTTTTGTTTTGATTTCCAAGACAGGGTTTCTCTGTGTAGCCCTGGCTGTCCTGGATCTCACTCTGTAGACCAGGCTGGACTGGAACTCACAGAGATCCGCCTGCCTCTGCCTCCCGAGTGCTGGGATTAAAGGCGTGCCACCCCGGCATCTTTGTTTACTATTCTTAGGTTTTAGTTGTGGGGGTGGGGAGCACTCATGCCACTGGGCAAATGTGAGGGTCAAAGGTCACCTTGCAAGGGGTCATTTCTCTCCTTCCACCGTGTGATTGATTCCCAGGGATTTCTGAACTCCAGCTCTCAGGTTTAGCGGCCAGTGCCTCGAGACATCTTGACAGCCCTCGTTTGGGGTTTGTTCTGAGGCAGCCTGGGTTGGTTGGTTTCCGATGTGTGGCAATCCTCCTGCCTCGGGGCTGGGATCGCAGGCCCGATCTATCACATCAGTTTTGGAGGTCTGTTTTGGCTGAGTGAGGTGGAGTGGAGACAGTAGCTGGGATTTAGGATGAGGTCTTGCAGAACACAGTTGGTTTTGAACTCAAGGATGACTCGACCGTGAATTGTAACCCTGTCCTGGGACTTCCAGAGGTGCCCCTTTGGGGGACTGTGTCAGGAGTAAAGTGGGTGTGTTCTAGGGGATGGGTCTGGACCGATCTAAATGAAGTGAGTTGAGGTTTGGCTGTCCGAGGTGGGGGAGATCCAGACCTGCAGAGAGGGGGTTGGGATGTAGCGGGGTGACCCTCTTAGGCTGAGTGAGGACAGTGGGACCGCTGGGTGTGCCGCAGTGTCCACCAAGTGAGAGTCCGCCTGGACCAAGGTCAGGAAGTAGCAGCACAGGTGCGTAAGCCTGCTGGCCAGGAGGCTGAGAGAATCAGAAGCTCAAGGCAAACCTGGACAATTTGGTGAGACTGTCTGAAAATAAAACCTAAAAGGAAGGCTAGAGACACAGTTCAGAGGAAGAGCCCCTGCCTAGAATCCCCCAGTGAGGGGCTGGGGGTGTGGCTCAGTGGTAGAGCCCCTGCCTAGAATCCCCCAGTGAGGGGCTGGGGTGTGGCTCAGTGGTAGAGCCCCTGCCTAGAACCCTCCAGGCGTGAGATCCTTGCTTCAGTCTCCATTACCGTAAAAATTCTTTTGAAGAGTAGACTGGTGAGGTAAGTTAGGGTGAAGACTGAAAGCTAAATTAATGAGGATTAGAGACGCCGGACCAAAGGACGTTCCGACTGGGCTTGGAGGTGAGCGTTCTGGAAGATTCCACCTGGGAAATGTGGAAATGGCCACAGGAGACAGGAACAAGGGATGGCACTTGGAGATGAGACAGGGTTCCAGAGTCCACGCGGGGTGCACGGACGGGCTGGGTGCCGCCTGGATCCCGGGACCCTCCGGTGAGTACCCCTGTGCGCCTCTCCCTGCAGGCGCAAGCATGTGGCAGCCCTCCTGGACATCAGAGGACTGCGGAACGCAGCTGCCCGTCAGGAGATTCTGGCGGTGGCCCGGGACCTGGAACTCTCTGAAGGTGGTGCCCTATCACCCGCTCGGGACCGCGCCTTCTTTGCGGACATCCCCGTGCCCCGCTCATCCTTCTGCCTCGGCCTCCCTCTCCTCCTGGGGCGCCTCCCGGTCTCCCGGCTGGCCAGGCCCAGCCTGGCTTGTCTGCCCCTGCGGCCACGGCCTCCGTCGTCAGTTCGAGCCAGAGCCCAGCGCTGAGGCTGCTGGTGCCCATGCTGCTGCTGATCCACCCTCCTCCCTCCCACGTGACCCCTGGCCTGAGACGCGGGCCTCCGGGACGGGAGGTGCCTTGGCTAGCCCACCCAGCCCGGAGTGTCCCCCCTAGAAGGGAAACAGAGGCCGGGATGAGTGAAGAGTCCTCCCCCCCTCCCCCCCCAGGCCACCGAGGTCATTCCCGGCACCCTCCTCCCCCATAGCCCAGCATGGCGGGGAGCCTTCTGGAAGGCTCTACACAAATATCCCCGCCCCACCTCCTCTTCCCTCACCTCAAGGTCTGGCCCCCATCCAACGTACTAAGGAATGGTAGATACTTAGAATAAAGAGGTTTCTATTTAACACTAGGAAGGGCAGAGTCCCAAGCGCAGGGGAGGGCAGACAGGGCCCGGGGCCAAGCGCTCTTTGCACACACCCAAGGCCACCAGGGCTGGGGTCCAACTCCGAGGGAGGACAGCGAACGTGCACAGGAGCCGCAGCAGGCCAGACTCTGCCCAGCTGCCCGCTGATCCCGGGTCCTTGATCTGTGTGGCTCCGAGGCAGGCGCTCGACCGCTCTGAGCCGGACACCTCTATTTTATTTATCCCGGTGTCTGACGCTCTGGGTTCCCTGTTGCCACCTTGGCACGGCCCTCCCCATCCATGCTTAGCGAGGGGAGCCTTGTCCAGAGAGGAAGGAGCTGGGGGGTTGGGCCGGCGGCATCCAGGGCGCCCTCCTGGGTTGATGCAGGAAAAGTCTCAGGGTGGGAAAATTTCCAGCCTCTCAAGCCGGAGCCCAGCCGGATCCGAGTCCCCACTTAGTCCTTGAGGTCATCTCCCTGCTGACCTCTGCCCCTCCGGCCTCAGCTGGACGGCTTGTGATGGATGCTTCCTGGCCTGGGTTGTGTTTTATTTTATTTTTTTTTTTCCCTGAGAAGTCAGAAAGAGGAGGCAGCCAGGGGTCAGCCCGGGGGCCGGGGTTGGAACCTCACGCACGTCTCTCTGGACATTGGCAACAACATGGGGGCCCTAGGCTCCACGAGTCTCCGGCTGTGTGCTTCAGAAGGGAAGCTGTCCGTCTCTGGGTTGTGCTTCCTGTCTCTCCTGGGAAATTGCTAAACTTCTCTCTGTCCGTGAGACGCCCAGAGGATGTCCCGCCTCCTTCCTTGACCTTCTGAAAGTGACACCTCAATGTCATTGACGTACAGGAGAGGGGAACTGACTGGGCAGGCTGTTGCGTTGGTGGGCGCTTGCACAATTACACATGTATTTCATCTCAGCGTGGTCATGCTTTGTCGTTTTCTGAGTCCCTGTTCCATCACTGAGAAGCGGCCTTCTTCTCTTCACGCTTGGTGACAAGCAGGTTGGGTGCTGAGGCAAAATAACAGAGGCATAGGGCCAGACCGGACTGCATCTCAAGACCACACCCCACACAAAAGGGGTGTGTGGGATCAGTGAGATGGCATTGTGGTAAAGGTGCCTGCCACCAAGCTTAACAGACCGAGTGTGAGCCGCTGGACCCAAGAAAACACACACACACACACACACACACACACACACACACACACACACACACCTAATAACAAATGGAATGTAGATTCTCACTGCCCTTTTTGGCTAAGGTCTTCCCAAGTAGCCCAGGCTGGCCTTGAACTCACGGAGATCCACTTGCCTCTGCCTCCTGAGTGCTGGGATTAAAGGTGTGTGCCACCATGCCCAGCTATTATTTTGAGACAAGATCTTGCCTGTAGCCTAAGCTAGTCTAGCTCTCCATTCTCCTGCCTCGGGCTCCCAAGTGCTGGGATTATATACATGAACCGCCCTGGTGTTTTGTTTTGTTTTGTTTTGTTTTTGTTTTTGACACGGCACCTGGGCCACTTCATCCAGGGTGAAACCCCGGAAATGTGCAGTACCTGACACTGGGGTGCATATATGTGCCCCGGAGTGCCATATGTCCGTGAAGAGGAATGACAGGCCAGTGGCAGCCACGGTGGCACAGGCGTACTACCCAGTTGGGGACATTGCAGCGGCAGGAGGGCCATGAGTTGGGGGCCAACCTGATCTCCATGAATTCCAAGTCAGCCTGGGCTACAAAGCTAGACCCTGTCTCAAAACAGTAAAAGGGCCTGGCTGGGGAGATGTGGCCCAGGGTAAAAGGCCTTTGCGACACTTTCAGAGGATCATCCTCATGTTCCCAGTTCCCAGCGCGTACATCGGGCAGCCTTCTGCCTGTAATTCCAGCTCGGGGAGATCCGATGCCTTGGGCATCCTCAGACGCCCAGACTCACTTACACAGTTACACACAAATAGATATGTAATCATAAACAAACAAACAAACAAATAAATAAATAAATGAACATGGCTGGAGAGATGGCTTGGCAGTCAGAGAACTCGTTGCTCTTCCAGAGGACCTGGGTTCAGTTTCCAGCACCCACATGGCTGCTCACACTGCCTATAACTGCAGTTCCAGGGGATCCAGCGCCGCCCTCTAACCTCCCCAGACAGCAGGCATGCATGGACATACTTGCTGGCCAAACACGTAAATAAATCAAACTTCAAACTTGTTGAGTGGTAAGTAAATCTCTAAAGAGAGAGAGACATCAAGCATCGGTACCCGACTCAGTTCAGATTAGCCTTGAGAGTGTCACACGTGAATGGACGAAGCCGGATACAGAGTGGGATTTGACTCAGATGGGCCCAACCACTTCTGGGAAGAGAAATGGAAGAGAGAAGACTCTCTGACTGGGCTTGAGACCACAATCATTTACTCCATCAACAAACTGGAGCCAGGATCCAAAGCCAGCCGGGGGTAGATGAAGGGCCACGCCAGAGGCTGAGATGGGAGGCCTGTGAGTTGAAGGCCAGCCTGGGGGGTAGTGACATCCCATCTCAAAGAAGCAAGTCAAGGGTGTAATTCAGTGGCTACACCCTTACCTCAAATCCTCCAGTGAGGGGCTGGGGCCATGGTCAGCAGTAGAGCCCCTGCCTAGAATCCCCCAGTGAGGGGCTGGGGGTGTGGCTCAGTGGTAGAGCCCCTGCCTAGAATCCCCCAGTGAGGGGCTGGGGTGTGGCTCAGTGGTAGAGCCCCTGCCTAGAATCCCCCAGTGAGGGGCTGGGGGTGTGGCTCAGTGGTAGAGCCCCTGCCTAGAATCCCCCAGTGAGGGGCTGGGGGTGTGGCTCAGTGGTAGAGCACTTGGGTAACATCGAAATTGTTAGAGGAAATCACAAAACACCAATGGACAGGGGCTGGAGAGATGTCTTGGTGGTTAAGAGCATTGGCTGCTCTTCCAGAGGACCTGGGGTCAATTCCCAGCATCCACATGACAGCTCACAGCTGTCTGTAACTCCAGTTTCAGGGGATCTGACATCCTTACACAGACATATATGCAGGCAAACACCAAGGCACATAAAATAAAAATAAATGAATTACTAAAAAAAAAAAAAAAAAAAAACCCAATGGGCAAAGGGTATATTGTGCAGTCTTCTGTGGCCCAAAGGAACGCTGTGTATGAGATTAAAGATCGGAGCCCAGGGCCTGGAGAGAGGCTCAGCATGTAAAGGCACTGGCCGCCAAGTCTTACAACCTTAGTGTGATCCTCAGGTTCACAGGGCAGGAGGAGATAACCCTCACCAGTTGTCCTCTGGCCCTCTGAACTACCTATTGGAGCGTCCAACAAGCCAGACAACTACCATATCCAGGAACTGGGCTGGACAGACACAAAAACGTCACCACAAGGGTGACGGCAGCCCCTCCCCAGCCAGCTGTATGCAATTCTGCCCTAAATGCACGTGGCCTCGGGAGCGGCACGTGGTGGCGGGGAGGGACCAGGGGCTTGGGGGCTCCCTCTATGCAGCCGTGAGGGCATCATCGCTCCGGCTGGGCGCAGACCTTCCAGTGTGGCGGCTGACCACAGCCCCTCACCCCTGCTCTTCGAGGACCCCTAACCAAGCCTCTGGTCCCCAGGTGAACTTTGGCAGAATGTACCTCAGTTTGTTGCTGGGACCTTGGGAGGAGGTAGACATTGTTTACAACTCCCCGGAGGAAGAAATTTTAGAAACACTTCCATGTGTGTGCTTGCATTAAAGAAATAAACAAATAAATGCATATTTTCAAAAAGACTGGAGGTGGCCTTCCTGTTCTGATCTAGAATATTCCCCAAACTCCCTATCTGTGGGGAGCTGGGTATGTAACAGAACCCTAAAGACAGCCCCTGAGGTTTGCCCACAGTGCCCCACGGCACACACATGGGGGGGGGGTCCTGCTTTTCAGGTCTATAAGCTTAGATATTGTTGGATGTAGAATCTTTGGTGTTCCATACTCAGCTGAGGCTGGCCTTGAACTTCTGATTCCCCTGACTCAGCCTTCCAAGTATGGGGACTATAGGCATGTACCTCAATGCCTGGTTCTTTTTTTCTTTCTGTACATTTATTTATTATGTATTGTGCGCAAACGTCTGAGGTCAGAGACAATTTCTCTCTTTTCAGCATGTGGGTTCCAGGACTCGAACTCGGAGCTTTGAGTGTGGCTGCAAATGCCTTTACCCACCACGAGCCGTCTCACTAGCCCCCACCTTCCGATTTTCTTCTCATTTTAGTCTTATATAATTCCTATTTTCTTAACTTCCTTTTTTGACCTCCAGGCTATTTACTTTCCAAATACTTGTGGTGTTTTGAGATATCCTCTTGAATTTGATTTCCGCTGTGGTCAGAGAAAATACTTTGTAATATTTCAATATAAACAATATTAAAAAAATAAAAAATAATAAATAATAAAAAGGCACGACTTGCCTTTTTGCCCAGCCAACCCTACCCTTTAAATATTTGTGTTACATATTTATTTATTTGTGTGTGTGTGTGTGTGTGTGTGTGTGTGTGTGTGTGTGTGAGTGTGTGGTGTGTGTGTGTGTGTGTGTGTGTGTCTGTGTGTGTGCCACGGTGCACATGGAGATCAGAGGACCAGAGTCTGTTCTCTTCCGCCATGTGGGATCGATCGGGAGATGGAACTCAGGTCTGGCATGTTGGCAGGAGCCCTTTCTTACTGAACCATCTGGATGGCCCAATTAAAGATTTTTTTTCAAAGCAGGAGACAAAGCAGGGCATTCAGACATACCGAAGGTTCAGGACATATCTGCCGTGACAGTCCACGGAATGTCACAGGAAGGCCTGGGGCCAGAGGGAGAGCTAGCTACCAGATGGGAATGTGGATCTGCACAGTGAAAAACATAAGCTGGCCTTCGGTCTTCGAATTATCTAAGCTTCTTTCGTACAAAATGAACTGTTTACCGGGAAACATGCACCTGGTATGGTGGTGCCGGAGCATCCACCCCAGCACCAAGGGGCTGAGGCGGGAGAAAGAGGACGATGCACATTAGTGAGGCGCAGAACCTGAGCAGGGAGACTGTGGCCTCAATCTCCTGGGGTTCCCGTGCCGTGTGAATCAGTGTTATTATGTCCCCTGTGGGTCATCTCTGATCAGTCGTAGATGGAGACAAGCTTCTAGGATGTCAGAACCAAGGGCCCCAGTGGGTGAATCACAAGTGTGAGGTCCTGAGTTCGAATCCTCCCGGGAACTCACAAAAAGCCAGGCACTGGAAAATCAAACAGTGAAGGGGAAGAGAAATAGGAATCTCACTTAAACAACTTAAGAAAAACACAGCTCTCTGAACAGATGAAGATAGGTTTCTTCTGTATCCCAGAATCTAATCAATATTTATATGTGAATAATATAGCTATTATTTGGCTTAAAAGGGCTTATTGGGAAATGTTATCATTTTTACTATTTTCTACAGAGAAAATATTTTCCAGTTTCAAATAACCCTGGACTTTTGAATTATAACCTGTTTTTATGTTCAGAAAAAAAAAAATAAAGCCAGGCACTGGAGGCATCTGTAATCAGTGCTCCTTTGGTAAGGCGGGAGGCAGAGACAGGAGAATTCCCAGGAACTTCTGGGTCAGCTAACCTGGTGTAGGCGACAGTGAACCGGAGACTCTGTCTCAAACAAGGTAGATGGCAAGGACTCAAGGCTGTCCTCTGACCTCTACACAGGCACTGTGGTACATGTGTGCCTGCACACACACAGATGAGCACAATCACTCACACACACACACACATACACAAACACACACACACTCACACACACAGATGAGCACAATCACTCACACACACACACACAGATTTTTTTTTGTTTGTTGTTTGAGATAGGGTTTCCCTGACTGTCCTGGAACTACTTCTGTAGACCAGGCTGGTCTTGAACTCATAGAGATCCCCTGTCTCTGCCT